CTTGCTACCTGTATGTAGCACTTCCTCTCCATCTCCCCATGCAGCCTTACTAGCTCTGACTCTGGTCCTTATCACCTGTCTGTTCTGCTGACTCACCTTCACACCCTGCCTCCCTGCTTAGTAGCGCTCTCCGCCTCAACTGCAATGGCATCCCTAACCAGCTCCACCTGTTCATTCAATAGGAGTGACCCGCTAATCTTCAATCTGCCTCTCTGAATCAGTGCTTGACTTCACAAGTTCACTTCTCCTCGTAACAGTGATGGTCTTTTACTTGTCTGTGCTTGTTTGTCGTATTTCCTGATGGATTTTTGGGTACCAGATGACTCTAAAACACATACACAGCATTTCAGACTGAATATATGACTCTACATGCTGATCACTCAGACCGTTCTCCAATCCACCAACAGGCCTCCACATGCTGTGACAGCATCTCCATGGAAACCCAAGGTGAAGCAGGGGTGCTGGCAGTTGACATTTGTAAATATTTCATTAACAGCGACATCAGGTGAAGCTGAGAGGGCAGAGACACCAGAGTTCACACGCTGCTAAACACCCAACAGAGGATGTTGGTCAGATGGTCAGGGCCGGTTTAGAGCTATTTCTAGGTGACGGTCTGAGTTCATTTGGTAAAGACCGTTTAGAAGTTGAAATGCCTTCATCACACACTCAGCAACAACTGATATGTTGTAATTTCAACACTTTAATGTCCCTCTCTGGTCCTTAGTTTAAACCCTAAAAACTTATTTGTGTGTATCTATTTTTTAAAATGAAAATAACCACTGCCTGCCCTGAAGTGACTCAGATGAAACCCTACAATGTTGTTTTTTCACTGTTCAGTCGGGGTCGTGGGTGTGTTTCTCTGTGGGTGTGTGACTGTGGCTGAATGATTGCTTAACAGATACCACCTGCACCTACCTGTGAATTTCTTTGCTTGTTACAGAGAGAGGGAGAGGTAGGGTGCCATATTTTCTGTTGACCACAAAAGCTTATTTTCTATCATAGCTTACAAGTTCATCATTGCCACATGTATGTTTTCTTTTTTACTGAAAGGGTTAAAATAAACACCCTCAACGGCAGTAATGGCTTCATGTTTCTTCCTTGGAATCAGCGTGTTGGACAGGACCTGTTTTTCTCCTCTCAGTGACTAATTTAGTCTTGATTGTCACATCACACAGATAATGTTTTGATGGAACAAATGTACAAGGTACTCAGTGACTTGAAGTATGTAGTAACTTGGGCTAAGGTGAAACCTCAAAAATAACTGTACACTTGTGAAAATTGTGAAGGGCAGTGCTGTACTTCAACTTGGCATGATAGTGATGGTGTTGCCTCACTGCTCCACTGCCAAGACACAATGACACAGCTGGTTACAGGTTTATATGAGAGCAGCATTTTCTTTGACACTGGAGGGTTTTTACTATACAACTGCCTGGCACATGGAGATGTTCCTAAGGCCAAAAAGTTATTGTCTAACCATCACAATATGTCTAAAAGTCTGATAGGTTCAGCTAAGTGCTTGGACCCTGCTGCTTTAAAGGCACAAGTAGTTTTCCTGGACAATTTTCTAACTTGCCAGAAGATGTCATGCTGGCCTTTAGCTGTACGGCCCTGGCTGGAATAAAGGGAAGGAGTCGTCTTAGCGTCCAAAACCTGATGGTCTGAAGTGTTTAGTTAGTCCAGAATCCGAATTCAAACTCAACGGTTTTATGCATTGAACAGGAATAAATGCACCTTTAAATAAAAATCACATACAGTTTTTGGGACAGTAAACGTTGTAAAATGACGCGTAAAGCAACAGTAGACAGATCACTTCACCTTTATATATCCTTGATCCACATGATAAACAGGCTGCTGACGTGCAAATGCAGGAATGAAGGTTATGCCTAAACCCACACATAAGCCAGATTCGTCTGTAGCACAGACTCATGTGTCTGATGGTTGTATAAACTTGATGAACTGTGTGTTGATACAGGTGAAGAAAAATGTCCAGATATTTAGGATTGGTATTTTTTCCCCCTTTTAAATGGGTGTCCAACCAGCTAAGAGTTCAGCTCAATAAGAACATGAAGCCAAGTTTGATAGAGTACAGCAGTGGATAAACACAGGGCATGCTGCCACACACACAGTCATGATCCCATTATTTCAGAAGACATTACACTGGGTAGCTTTCATTACCTGGAGGCTGACATTAACCCGAACCAGTACCAACACTTGCCTAATCTTTACCCTAACCTATTAAATACCTAATGATTACAATTCAGGAAGACTTGCCCTAAGAACGTTGAGTACTCACATTGTGACCATGTAGACAGACAGACACAGACACGTCCACACACACACAATGTAAGGCTGATCGGCAGTGTAGCAGGTCAGTGAACTGTAACTGTGATGTATAATTGATGAGGGAGGTGATAATAGCAGAGCATCTCCATGAAACTAAAGAAGATGGAAACCTTAAGAGGCTGCAGTTCGTCTGAGCGACAACATTCACCTCAATCACAGACAACAAACAGCTGATAAGCTTTATGGACAACAATACTCCTGTGTCTGTTTCTTTGTTTTTATACAGCATATAGTGATAAAACACTACATGAACACACACACACACACACACACACACACACACATATATATAGGGTCATGTGTGTCAATAGCTGCACCTCTGCAGCCATCTTGTGGTCAGGCTGCTGTACCAAAGTATTTCCAGTCTCTCATTCTCATTCATGTAAAGTGATAGTGACCACAGATGTTGGTATCTTGGTATACGAGTGCTCCCTAAAATAGTCAAACAGCACTGAATCACTGACACACATACTGTAGCTGTTACTGTTCTACCAACAACGACAACAACAACAAAAGCATTGAATGTTGTGAGTGAAAATGTGTATTTAACTAAAATAGAAATAAGCAATTTTTTAAAAAACTGATTCCATTTTAGGGTCAACCTTGTCAACATAAAAATTGATAAAAGAAAGAGTTGTATCATCTCAATTATGCCATCATGCAAATAAAAGAAAAAAAAAATCTGAAAATAAATCAGGAAAGCCAGAGTTGTATTTGTAAACATCTGAAAAATACATGCAAAAATAACATAACACATTTAGAAAAGGCAGATACCATTACATTAGCAATTTACCAGCTCATCCATCCATTATTTATACATCACTTAATCTTCACTAGGGTCACGGGGGGCTGGAGTCCATCCCAGCTGACTCAAGGCAAAGACAGGGGACACCCTGGACAGGTCAGCAGTCTATCACAGGGCCACACTTAGAGACAGACAACCAAGCACACTCACATTCACAATTTAGAATCACCAATTAACCTCAACATGTTTTTTGGACTGTGTGGGAGGAAGAAGCCGGAGAACCCAGAGAGAACCCACGGTGCACGGGGAGAACATACAAAGTCCACGCAGAAAGATCCCAGGTGTCCTCATAGGGACATGAACCGGCAGCCTTCTTGCTGCGGGGCAACAGTGCTAACCACCAAGCCACCTTGCAGCCATTTACCAGATCAGTAAATGGTATTAACAAACCTATGGCATTATATTGAATAACAGTAACAAAATAATAGTTTATTACAGTCATATACATTATACCCCTTTTTCAATTAAAATAACTCTAATTACATTTTTATTTGACAGATTTGACCATTTTGAAAAGTGATCTATGGAGCTGTGACCACACTGCAGATGGCATTGTTTCACATTTAACCACCAAAAGAAAACACACTGTGTTGAACTGCTTCAAGCTGAAAAATATACCAAAACAAATCACAATAGTTTTGATTGGATGATAAGATATGGCATAAATGATGGTGTTAAAGGCACACAGGCAGGAAATAGAGCATAAAAAGAAGCCATAAAGTTCATATGTAATGATTTCTTATATAGATATCGATTCTATACTGTATACCTAAAATTGTGGAGGGCAGCAGGACATTATCCAACGTGGAGTCAGGTAGTCATGACATATTTTACATGATATCTAATGTACCTCACAGAGTTTTTTTTTTCTTAATCACAAAATATGATTTAAAAATATTGAAAAATGTACAAACTCAGAGTTGTAGTAAAATATATCTATATTAAATAACAAGGCAAAATACCAACATTAAATCCAAATATAATATATAAACTGAATATTCTACAAATCGTCTGTCATTTAAGCACATCAGGTGAAATCTGAATACACTAAAAAAATATATACATTTATTTTTAATTGGCTCATATTTGTTTGTGGATTGAACTGTATTTTTGTTAACACCAGAAATGATTAATCACAAATTGTTAAGTACTGTATATGACAGAAGTGAGTACAGACCTGTACAATATCACCTCAATGTCAAATGATTACAAATTCTACCACCTTTCAGTAACTGCATTAATGCTAACTTAACCAGTAGGGTACTTGCTCTTATGTAAAATTACAATCTAACATAAATTAACTGGACTACAAATACAGATTCTGCAAGAAAATCTCATTACTGAGATTGAAATCTTTTGCTTTTTTAGTCATTTCTTCTAAAGAGACGACATTTTGGGTGTGTGCTTTGGATAATTATCATGCTGGAATAGTCATCTTCATTGCGTCTGTAGACTCGGAGTCATCTTGTCAGCCTGTACTTTGGTATATCTCCAGACATTGATGACACATCTATAAATTTTGTCTCCCTTATACCTTTTACACCTTTGCACTAGATCATCACACTCCTATCTCTGTGTTTCTCTGTCAGGACTTTGCATTCACTGTGGTAGTCCTGACCAGGTTCACACCAACCATGCTGGACCTCATCTGAACCAAACAAATTTATCTTAGTCTCATCTGATCAAAAAATGTCCAAAATATTACCAATATTCACCAGGCTTTTTCTTTTTCATGTTCTTTGGCAAAGTTTCATCTTGCAGTTTTAAGCATTGTGGTGTCATTTTAGAAGTACAACATTCTGCAGCTCTGATAAGTGGTACCACAGCTCAGTCTTTATCCTCTGATGACTGTTGTATATGTAGTTTTAGTTGGATCTTCCTGTGTCTCTTTCCATCTTTGTGAATACTCACAATCAGATTTTTTAGTTTTCAGTTTTTTAATTCTTTTCAATGTGGAGCCAATACCTAGAGCCCCTAGGTCCACAACTGAGAAAGTTCTGGTGTAAAGGAACCATTTTATAAACATGTTCATGCAGTCAGACTGATAGAAAATCACAGCTGTACTCAGTTTGGTGATCACAGGTTTTCTAACTCGTGTGCTAGTGATCACAAGTGTATTCACATTTGTCACATCTTATTTCTACTTTGGGTTTGCATTTTCATTGAAATATTGAAGAAACTCTTCCTGTGAACTTAGATGTGAACCTAGAAATCCTGCAATTATTGACAGGCGATCCAATTTGAATTATTTGACATGTAAGTGATATTGTAACAGAGTGTACATGAACAGAGATGGTGTTCTGACATTGTGACTTCTGGCAGCTTGTGTGCCATGAAGCTGTGCCATGTCCTCAACAGCGTCTCGTAAGCATTCAGCAGTTAAGTTCTTTATTCAAGCCAGTTTAGTGATGCTGATGCTACCTTTGATCCACAACGTGTCAATGTCGCTGAGTGACGTCACTCGGTGATGAAAGTCAAACAGCTGCTGTCCATCCACAAACACACGAAATCTGCTTTGTTCACAGTGAATCTCGATCTGTGAGGAGACAGCAGATGGTTAGTTCATTTTACAAGTTTTACAAACGTTTTGAAGTAAAACCTGCCGTCTTTGTCAGTTGTCTTTTCAGAAAAGCTGTGCACTTATTGATGATTAATTTGCTCCCTGTTATACGAATCAGAAAACCAGTTTTGAGCTGGAACCATTTTTTAAAAAGCTAATGTAGATCTGCATCCAAAATCACTCTCTATTCTGAGTATAACCATGTTCCACAGTGCAGTCTAGTATATTTTGCTGTCCGTTGCACAGCTCAACAGCTGACAGCAATGACAGTGAACGCATCACATCAGACATAACTTTGGTTGGGAAAAAAACGATCAAGTTGGCAGATTGTATCATTCACCTCCAAATGGTTCGTAAAATGTTTTTATTTGCAGGCTTTCATGATTTGTTGAAGTTCTGACTTCACGTCCTAGTATTTTCCACAAGAATCAACTTTCTGGAATAGAGCAGCACATTTATTTTGGTGGAAATGCTCAGATTAGTTCTAAATTAGGTTTGGGAACAAGAACCAAAGCAGCACCATTGGTAGAAACAACCTGTCTGTAACCTCTGCTGTTATTGAAGACTCGCTCCACTGCCACTTGTTTCTCAGCTTTAGTTCTGCTCCTGCCTGATTCTGACCATTGAACCGTAGTTCAAGTGTAAAGCTGCAATGTATTCAGAAATAAGTATTCATATTGTTATTAATAATTTGTAAAAAAAAAAAAAAATGCAAAAAATTATTAAAACTCAGCTCATTATCATAAAAGATTATTTTATTATAAAACAACTAATAATTCAATAATCAGAACGTGATATAATTTAAAACATGTATTAGAGTGAGACATTACACATTGAAATAAATAGAAATGTCATTGGAAGAAGTGACATTATTACATGAAATACACAACATTATCAAATGTGTAATTATAAAATGAGAAACTATATTATGTACGAAAAATGTCTATGAGTAAAATTGACATAAAATATTATTTGGGAAAGATTCTACAATGGAATATTGTTTGAAAATGAGAGCCTAGAATAGAAATAAAAATGATACCAAATAAAATTCAGATAAAATAAAATAACACCTTCTTATAATGAGTTGAATTTTTTATATTTTCTTATAACATTATTTGACATATTGTTGTGCCATTTACCTATTTTAAACAATCTATTTATTTAATTATTTATGTTGTGGTGTCTTTTCATTGGTTAATTAATATTTTGGATTTAGGTAATAGATGAGCATAGGTCAATGTCCTGCTTGTAGTTCTTAGTATTTGGTGTTGCTGATCTAATCCATGTGACACTTTAAACACATTTTTAAGAAAAAGTCCAGTATAGCTGCACACACTGCTGCAACTGAAGCACAGCCTGACTTTTGTTTCCACCCAATAAATGTGCTTTTTTTTTGGTGGTATTTACACCTCACAATGGCAAGAGCTGTTGCAGCTGACACTGACAGGTTTATGACAGATGCTGGTACCTTGAACGGCTGGTCTCTGATGAAGGGGAAGTAGGGGACGGCTCTGTCAGTGTCCCCCCACGATCCAGACATGCAGGCTCTTCTCAGGATCTGTCGGTCCCTGAATCGAACACACAGCTCCAGAGCCACATCAGGAGGAGGCTCCCTGGACGTCCCACGGCCACATGTCAGGGCGATGTAGAACCTACCAGAGGAGTGGACAGTAAACATAAATCGAGTTTGACAGACAAACATCACAACCTTTATACAACATGTAAGTCTGTAGTACAGTGAAAAGAATAAAAATGGAAGGAAGGAGAATCAAATAAAACAGAGGCACTGTGTTGATGGTAAGAAAAGGAGGATGGATTATTAAAGGGAGGCTGAAGTTATATGAATGTTACCTGTCAGGACTGGAGTCCACGATGCCCACCACCACAACATGCTTCCCCGGCCGCATCCCACCTGTGATGTGACCTCTGAAAGGAACAGCCTGCAAGCAACATGTTCACTGTGTGTGATTAACTGATCAAACACAAGTCAAGAATGGTTGAGTTGAAAACCTGAAATGAGGATTACAAAAGGAGAATCTAATGGACATACAAAACTATGAATATAATCCACCGTAAAATTAAAAATTTTAGACCAATTTAAGGCAAAATCATCGATAATAAGATTTTGAGAAATAATTACAATGTAAGTGTAATTGTCACAAAAAGTCAAGGTTTTAAAATGTAATGGATCATTTTACAAGAAAAAGATACGATGCCTTATTAAATGTGGCATTTGTGATGTCATATTTTTTCTGTTGTGAAATTGCAAATGTATTTTTAACATTGTGACTTTCGTTGCAAAAACATTATCAGGTTATGTTGCCTTTTTTTTTTTTTACCCAGCGTATATCATGTTTTTTTTTTTTCCCCCAAAAGAGACAAAAAGGTAACAACACAGTGAAGCAAACTGGCCACAAACAGATGCAAAATGACCACAAGGAGAAAAAAAAACCCAAACAGGTCTACAAACAGACACAAAGCAACAAGAAAGAGACACAAAGAGATGCCAGCTTTACAAAATAATACATCATCTTGTTCAGCTCTTTTTTTTTTTTTTTAAGTCAACATGATTTTTTTCCCTTTCTATTCACTTACCAGTTTTCTCTCAGCAGCTCGGTCAGGAGGGCCGGTGCTCGGTTTGCTTGGATCAGTGTCATTCCGCTGTGAAACAATCCACCTCTGAAAAGAAAAGAATTAAAAATGATTTGAGCTTCACTGGTCTGGTTCTGCATTTTAAGAAGTCAAATCTGCATTTTCTTGCTTTAATCTTAGAGTTAATTTTGGTGGATTAAAAACATGCCATTTAAATGTATTTATCTTTTTGTAACTATACATGATCTTTGTCTGTTAAAGCAATAAAAGTTAAATCTGATGTGACACAATAATAAATGCATCATCACACAAAGCAAGATAAAAAGCTTTGTTTACAAAATGAAAGCTTTGTATTGTAATCTGGAAATGAAGTCAAAGCACAAAGTTCACAGCGTGACATCACGTGACCAGCACGTGCTGCACCAAAGTCCTGAATGAAACCAGAAGCTGAAGAAGTAGGAGGTAACTTACTAAAATAAAAGCTTCTGATCATGTCTTTTGATGCTAAAATGTTTCACAGATCCTCTTAGTTTGTGATTAAAACAAGAAGCTTAACAGGTAACAAGGACTGATTCATGGAGTTTTTGTTACTTAAAATTAGAAAATAAAGAAAAATAACCTCAAGATCTCCCGTTAACTCCTGATAGTCAGAAGAAGAAATGATGAGCAGCTTGTTCAGAGACAGTTCTGAAAATTGTGGAACTCTCCTGCAGTTTAAAAGGAAAAGTTTAGCAAAACCTGGCAAACTTTGCCCAACTGCATGGAGAGCAATGCAATAACTAAATGATACTCTTTTGAACTGGATGGTTTTCCTTGTCTCATTTTGTTTAAACTAAAATATAAGCAGCAGGTTTAAGATTCAGATGAACAGTTGAGAACTTTACAATCTACGACAGCTACCTTCTAAGCTGTTCTTTTTACCTCAAAGGAGTTTCAAAAACCTGCCACACAGATCATTGAGGCTTTATGTTGGTAGTTCAAAGTGGACACGTTGCTTATTTCAGCTAACTTGACATTAGTTGGCACAGCAACAGGTTTTTTTCAAAACCAGTTACACCCATGTCTAAACTGCTACCTAATGAATAAAACTGAAGCAGCAAAAGACAAACATTGTAGCAGTTTGTCAGACTGTTTTCCTAAAGCTCATGTGTGTAAACTCACCTTCCTGCCCTCCGCTCTGTGGGCTTCAGCCATGTTGATCTGGAAACAAACAGAGCAATGAGCTGCAGATCCAGTTTGTCTGCCTCCGACGTCTCCTGTCGACTGAACCAACACTGACGTACAGCTTCAACCTGCTTCATTACACACACACACACACACACACACACACACACACAGAGCTCTGTTAATCAGCTGGCCCTGCATGCCTTTCTCTCTCAGGTCAATAACAAGTAGGCTCATTGTGAGGCTGTAACTGCAGGCAAACTCCAAAAACCAAACTCCCCTCACTTTGGTGAGCATTACCTTTAGCAGAGTCAATAAAATTCAAGATCAGCATCTCTTACTTGTTCCAAATAAGTTTAGGCTGCTGTTTTATATAATGCTAACAATACTGATAAATGCAAGCAGCAGTCAATTCATATATTTTCCTGTACGACTGTTAATAAAGTGGATTAAAAGGCCACTGTTGTAATGCAGAGTCTCCTGTGAATTCTCTCACACAAAGTGACTTCAAACAGCTTTTGCCTTCATATTTATCATATTTCACATTCTGTTGTTCATTTAATTTCATTTTTGTTTAATTATTTTGGCTGTTTACTATACTTCGTTTTGTTGTTTATTTAGTTTTATTTTATTTGTTTACTTTATTTTAGTGTTGTTTAATTTATTTCAGTTTATTTTATTTTATGGTATTTGTTTATTTTTTATTTCATTTTTGTTCATTTTGTTTTATTTGTATTTTATTTGTTTTTTTTATTGTATTTGGTTGCTTATTTTATTTTGTTTGTCTATTTTATTTAGTTGTTTACTTTATTTTTTTAGTCGTTTATTTTATTTTTGTTTATTTAGTCTTATTTGATTGTTTATTTTATTTTATTTGGTTGTTTATTAGAGTTTGGGGCTGCAAGGTGGCTTGGTGGTTAGCATCGTTGCCTCGCAGCTAGAAGGTTGCCTGTTCGTGTCCCGGTGAGGACACCCAGGATCTTTCTGCGTGGAGTCTCCATGTTCTCCTCGTGCAGCGTGGGTTCTCTCTGGGTTTTCCAACTTCCTCCCACACAGTCCAAAAACATGTTGAGGTTAATTGGTGATTCTAAATTGTCTGTAGGTGTGAATGTGAGTGTGCTTGGTTGTCTGTCTCTAAGTGTGGCCCTGCGATGGACTGGCGACCTGTCCAGGGTGTCCCCTGCCTTTGCCCTAAGTCGGCTAGGATAGGCTCCAGCCACCCCGCGACCCTAATGAGGATTAAGCGGTGTATAGAAAATGGATGGATGGATGGATGGATGGATGGATGTATATTTGTTAATTCACTAGGGCAGGTTAAGGATATCCTCAATATTCCTTTAATCTGGTCGAGTGGATCAAACAGAATATTCCATCATTACTTCCCAATAGAACAGAAAAGATAGTCCATTATTTCTTTAAAGCAGAGCAAAAAAATATTCCATGATGCCTTTTGAGTAGAAGTGCCTTGAAATATAATCTGAGTTCAAATGTAACATCACCAATGGAAGGCCCGAACATAGTTGCTTGTCTGCACCAAATCAAACTATGTTCCACCATATTGAAGTTGATGCAGATGTCTTCCCACAATGTCATAAACCAGTGTGGTGCTTTCGGAATCTAGGTGATATTGCACAGACAGGCACTCACATCTGCTGTACACTTAATATTATCATTTTTATTTATTTTGCATTTGTTTTTATTAATGAACTTTTGAAACATAAATGAAGAATTTAAAACTTCATATTAAGTGATTTCTTAACTCACTATTTCATAATTATTGTAATTTCCAAAATCTGTATTGTGACATGGTTTGACTTTTATTCTTTTATTTATTCATAAATAAATTGTACATTTGTTTGTTATATTTCTATGATGTTATTTATAAAAGAAAATGTTTTAACCTATATGCCCTTCTTCCCTAGCCACTTCATCTCTACTCAGTAAAAGATAAAAAATAAATAAAATAAATACAACAAGCAGCATAGCGGGCTATGCACAGCCATATTTTTTTTATTAACAGATGATTGCACGCAGGATTTTAACAAAACACAACAAGGAAATTATCAGAAACAACGGGATAGAAGTTATCCTTTCAGCACCCATCATTGTACCTTTTGCTCAAAAGCACATACACACATAGTGTGTGGAATGATCTGTACAATAAATACTCATACCTGCTTCACATGCCACTTTTTAAGTTACAACAGTGTTATCAAAATGCACATGTACAAACACAAGTTCCATGTGAGGGAGAGAAGATGTCAAAGAATAAAAGGTGTGTAGTTTGTTGAGCAATAGGCACACACACACACACACACACACTTAGAAAACACCAGTAGCACAGATTCAAGTAAAGCACCATCTAGTAAAAGCCTGGTGTCTTACTGCAAAGTGCTCCAAACTGAAGTGTAAAAATAAAGACTTTACATGAAAAGCCCAAGAAATGTTTCGTCTATTAAGTCCCGAAGCAACAGATATCTGTCTCTCTGTCATACACACATATGCACGCACACACACTCATTCAGTTGAACTGCTATAAATAACATAGGAAGTAAGTCATCTTTATTAACTTTATAAATATTCCCACTGCAGCTACTTCCAATCAGTTAAATAGAATCAAAACATATGGTTATGTACCTGCGGCCACACTGTGGGCAGAGGTAAACCTCATTCACATCACATCTGTCAGTTTCTGTTGCTTATAAAACCTGTTCTCAACAGTGCACACAGCTGTGTTTCCTTCAGTAGTGGGACAGAACACAAACAAAAACTGAAGACTTTTTAGTTTCTTCATATTTCCTCCTCTGGAGTTAAAATAATTTACAATAGTAAAGTTTATCCAAACCACCACTTATCCAACAAAAAGTGCTGTATAGTTTCAAAAATCATCTTGTTGTACAACGCTTTGTAGTTGTGTGCATCTTTTTTATTTGTTACAGTAACATTATATTTGCACACAACTATGCCAGGCACAGCAGATCAAACCTGAAACAGGGAGCCTGCTTTTAAACTGTTATGTGTTATTATTTAACTGCGCAGCCTTTATCTTTCAGATCAGCTGACTAACCTGAAGCACTTTGAAGCACCTGCCAGCACTTTGAGCAACTTCTTGAAATGAATCATGTCCCTGCTTTCACTAATGTCAGTAATTACCTGTGTGTACAATGTTATCATAACTGATAGAAATGATGGCCATAACAACAAAAACAAGACCCAAGCTGCAATAAGCCTGAAGGATTCTTTAACTTCAGTCATTAAATCAGCCACACACTGTTCTTCCATGGCAGGCAGTAGAAATATGTCAGAATAGCAGCTGTGTTTGGATCATCACTGGTCCAGTGGCAGTGCGGTGTTGTTGCCCGACTGGTCAGTATTCACCTATAGCTTTGCTTAACACACTTTGTTTGAACCTTGCCTGGCTTAGCTGTTTTCTCCCTACCTTAGCCACCTCCTACTTTTTGCCACCCTGTTCTTCATAGTCACATTTGTTGTGGTTAATCCCCCAGTCCACCCTGTGGCACTGTAATTACATATTGCCCCACAGATCCTTGATCCATTTCATGTTTTTGTCCTCTTACATTTACCGCTAGTGCATATCTCGAGCTCAAAATCAAATCTCCTCTGTGCAGACTTATGACTGAGCCTCTGGTAGGGACCGGCCAGGTTCACAGGACACTAAGGGTCCTGCCACTACTAACCCATTTGTGCTGCGAGTTTTGGCTGCTGTGGCAGCTGTTACTGATGAGGAAGTACTGTTACCAGTTATGGTACCGTTGAGGTTCCGGTAGGGCCGCTGCCGTGGTAGCGAAGCCCTCCGGTGGGAGGCAGGCATGGTAGCTGAATCACGGAGGCACACTGAGGGGAAACTCAGACCCACCAGGCAGCAGCCTGGACAGGAAATTACCTCATCCTGCTCAGAAGGGGCACTATGGTCAGAATACAGAGTCTGGGCTTCACTGTAACCATTGGTGCTCCTTTCGCCACCCCACGGCACCTGCTGACCAATCACATGGGCCGAACCATTGTTGTTGTCCAGAGGTGGCAGAGGAGGCAAGGAAGGTGGTTCGTTAGAGATGGGAAGTCCCCAGCCATTGGTCCGTAAGGAAGAGCTGGAGGTGGAGGTCAGCAGCGGTCTTCTAGGTGATGAGTTCAGGACTCTTTCTGTTGGATCTGGAGACTTGGTACAGTCCATGGGTTCTGTTAGACATACACTCTCCTCCTCCTCTTCATCGTCCTCCTCCAGTCGCTCCAGAGACACCATCTCCAGCTCAATAGGATGACCTAAATCTTCTAATCTCTCCTCTTCCTTCTTTAACAACTCTCTCCTCTCAGTGTTGTTCAAATGTTCTACCTGCAACCTTTCCTCCACTGTCTCTGACACTTTTGTCTTCCTCTTTGTGTCATCCTCCACATCTTCCCCCATCTCTCCCTCAATCACTGCCACTCGGGTGTCGTCATCCTTTTCCCCCTCTTTCCCCACCATGTCCCTTGGCAATGCCACACTCCGGCTGATCTCTGGTGTGCAGGGGAGCGACTGACACCTCCTTGGTGGTGCTCGCATCCCCGGTGTTCCTCTGAGAATGTGAGGGGAGGCACATGGATCACGAAGTGCTGGGAGGGTGAAGGTCAGGGAGATGACAGACTTGCTGGGTGTGTCCAAGAGTTTACACCGACCCCCATTAAGGTCCTGTCTAAGAGAGAAGGGGTTGACCCGTGCAGGGGTCCCAAAGAGAGGAGGAGTCAGGATTGTGGGAGGTATCATGTCTGATTGGCTCCTTGCCAAACCTTGGCGCAGCTGACAGCGGTCTCCAGGGTGACAGGGAGAGCTGCGGCGCCGGTACGGGCTGACATCTGCCACTGGTTCTGAGTAAAAAAAACACAAATGACACATGCACAGTAAGCGAATACTTCCAGGGCAGGACCTGAGTATTGCTATTAATGGCCGCAAACAGTTAAGCCGCACTTCCACTGCACCGATAGAAAGGTACAATTGTTTACATGTGTTGAAAGTGTGTTAGTCACAGACAGCATGAGTCTGTTGCTGGCGAAAAAGATTCTGTATTAGGGTTGGTATTTCCCCATTGAGAAGTCTTATGTGCTGCCCTGTGATGGACTGGTGACCTGTCCATGGGGGAACCCTGACTTCACCCTAAGTCAGCTCAGATAGGCTGTAGAGTCATGGGGGGTCTAGAGCCTATCTGAGCTAACTTCACCCTAAGTCAGCTCAGACAGGCTCTAGACCCCCCATGACTCTACAGGGTAGAAAGCAGTGTATAGAAAATGGATGGATAGATGCTGTCCACAGTGCTCCATCACCACAATATGAGTGTCTATACAGATTGCTTTATTTTACTGTAAATAATTATTATATCTAGATTACATTTCAATTATAATCTTATAGTATATAATAATGATTAGTTCAAAACAATGTCCTTACGGAGTCTTACTCAAGAATATTATTTTATATACTGTACGTATGTGCAAATAAAGCAATCTTAATTCTGTTATAAAATTGTTTTGTGTTTTCTTTAAAAATCATGTTTTTGTTCTGTTTTGTTTTATTTTATCTTGTCTTGATGTCTGGCAGATAATTTCGTAGCAGCCTGTCTAACAGCATGTGCAGCCCTTTGGTTATTTCATGTTGTTTTAAACTTGCTTTATAAATACATTTGATTTGATTTGATCAGATTAAGGTAAGGGATACAGAAACACCCTCACTATGCTAGGAATTTAGATTTAAGATGCAGGCCAGTTCAGAGCATTCAGGACAGTAGCTATGTAGCCCTTTGTGAGCATCCAAATCCATAGTGCCATGAAAACTGTTTACATTTAATGGACACATTTCCACATAGTGAATTAGTTCCTTTTACCAAGTGCAATGGGCTTCTCTCTGTCTTCTTCACTCTCCATGCCTTCCAATGTGAGGACAATGTCGGAGAATGAGGGACGCCTCTCTGCACTCATCTAAAAATAACAGAAGGTAAAAGATCTATATTTATATGACACAGATAAGTCAGTATCTTAACATCAGCTCAAGTGCCATTCATTTGACCTTGGTAACATGCTCTCAGCAAACTCTCACTTGCTCGCTCAGAAAGGTCTCACAGTCTTTAACAGAATCTAACATGACATTATGGTTTAGTTAGACAGTGAGTGTATGTGTACTTACATTACAGCAAGTCACAGCAAGACTAAAGAGCGCAGGAGGACAATCCCCAACCATGTTCTCGAATGCATCCACGTCCAGACCAAAGTCCTTAGTGTAACACACACACACACAGTTTGTCAGTAAGACACACACACGACATCATTACATAATTTTAATCACTACTGATCCTAACCTAAACAAAACTACCTGTACCTTAACCTAACCTTACCCAAACCCTAACCTGACTAACTTCACTCCAAACTAGAGATGCAAATTTTAAATAATGTCCTTAAACAACAGTTGGCAACCTTAGCAATCAATAACCAACTAATTGGTGGCACAGCATGACATTTGTAGCTAATATGTGACCTAATATGGATCACATGACTTTCCAAGCTTCAACAGTGTATCTCATGTAGCATACTGTACATTCCTCATCGAGCACAACCAACTGTCAGAGGCAGTAAGTGATACTAGAGTAGTGGATTACTGCTTCTGTCAAACTCATGAGCCCTCTGGTTGAGAGTCTTTAGCGTCACAGGACACTTTCTCATGGTTGCACTTTACTAGTTTAACTCCCACAATGCGCTCTGCTTGCCAACACAGAACTGGCAGAAGTCCAATTGATTGCCTCCTTAGTTCACCCCAGTGGTAAACAGTAAGTGGCTACACCTGGTGGAACAACCTGATACTATAGCTAATCAACAATACATTATGCATATCTTCTCCTTTATTGGTTAATATATTTTTAACTGGGTAAATTACTAACAATTAATCAAATAATGATTAATCATTAACATTCCTACTCCAAACTGAACCTAAGTCCGCCTTAACCATAACCTAACATTACCCTATGCCCAGTGTTAAACCACATGTGCAGGCTGAGCTTGTGTCCAGCTGATGTAAATTTCATCCTGTGCCCGACTTTGCAACAGTCCACTCACACCCTTCTGCTCATGTTCCAGTACAGCCTAAAAATTTGCATTAGACAGCCTGTGCAGTGACTCTTTGTGTGCATACATAGACTTCATTGTACTGCTCAAGTGTGGACTGTGGACTCTAAGCTTGACTTCAACTCAAACCAAATCTTCACCCTACAACTGAATGGTTTGTTGGACTTGCTTTCTGGCCCCAGAAGAAAGCTAGGTCCTCACAATACAACTGTGACCAGATTTATGTCTCCACAATATGACCAATACAAGTACCTATACAGACAAACAGCAACCCACTGCGGACCCATACCTCTGTCCTGGGTAAGAAGTCGGGATCAGCTTCAATCCGGGCAATGATCTCACACAGGATGATGCCATACGCAAACACATCCACCTGAGCAGAGGAAGGGCGATGCATGTCAGTTCTGTCCTTATGTTAGCTTTTACAATGCACATGTTGGTTAGTTCGAGTGGCAAAATCAACCTTATGTCTAGTAGATATACAAAATCCACATTAATATTTTATTTTAAAGCCGCTGGTATTTGTGCAAAAAGAGCACTTGAATAGTGCTTGCCATATCTAAAGCAATTCCATCAGCTCTGGCAAAACTGTAAATGAAGTTTTTCTTTACTAGTTTCTATAAATTGTCATGTCAAGGATAAGCAGTATATTTCTGAGACAATCTTTCAAGTGGCTCTGTTGTCTATAACTGAAATTTGTTTATTAACTAAAAACAAAACATGAAACTGACATGGTGTCAAAGGACATCCAGTTGCAACTAGTCCATGGTGATAAACAACCAAACATTGTGCATTCATTATGGTGCTGTGCTGTAAAAGTAGAAATGCCGTTTTTTCCATCATCAACACCCTGTATAATAAAGACGGAAACTCTACCCTTGTAAGAGGAGTTCATTCTTTTATCAAAAAATTGCACTGTATTGCTCTAATACTCTAGTATGTAGACACATGAGCTGTACAGAAACCACAGATGAAGCAGTTTTACCTTCTCATCATACAGCTCTCCCCTCAGAACCTCAGGGGCCATCCAGTATGGAGAGCCCACAATGGCTAGAGGCTGTTTCTCCACACCATCGCTACAAAAAAAAAAACACATAAAAAGTCATGTGCTCAGTCCCTTGTGACCTTAGTTACAATATTTTTTAGATACACTCTGTCAACTAAATGATCTGGAATAAACACTACTGTACAATCAATACAATCCAATGCAACAGCTCTATAACATGTCTTTGTTGATTGGTCATTTATGATATTTTTTCATTTGTTTAAATGCTTTGCAAAATGTATAAAACGCCAGTCTTTCAGTCTTCACATATTAAAAATGAATACAAATTGTACTACCAATGATTCGAAAATAAAATAAAAATCCTCTTTTGTGTTGGTTTTGTCCAAGGAGTAATTATCTGACATATAATGCACAGACTCAGCATTGTGCCTTGATCCCAAGCATAAATAACCTCTTGTACTGTAATGGATATAAACTGTTTACTGTTTTACTTTCACACTATTGTTTTTTGTTAAAATTGCTCAAGTGTCAGCTTAAAACACTTTATCCTTTCTCTAACAACCTCCAGTTAGATTACTGACAATTACACACTCTTTCAAATGAGGTCACAATGGTGTAGAGCTGACAATGATTTCTAGGTAAGGAAAACATCAGAAGTTCACGCAAAGTATATACAGTGGTTAACAAATTTATTAGACCAACTGTCACAAGAACAATAAAATATACATATTTTAGAAATCTTGATCCAAATCCCAAATTTGTTCAGTAGGATATAAATCTGTGCTTTGACTTGTCAAGTCCATCAGTTCCAGAACTCCAGATTCCTTGCCGTAAGAAAAAACACATCAAGATTCCTGGTTTCACATCACTGACCTATAATTAGGGATCTTCTCTGCCAGGCCAAAGTCTCCTACCACAGCAGTGAACACACCGTTGTCACAGCGAACCAGACAGTTCTGCAAAGTGAAACATTTGGAAAGTTACATCTAAAAACCACAATTGGTGAAAATATCAATTAACACTCCTATTACCTTCAAATTTACTGACATCTTTTCTCCTTGGGGTCATTTTGACCCCACTTTAAACCTCCAGAAAATATCATAATTAAAACTGTTGCCTAAGTTTATGTGTAAATAGCCCTTTAAATAAAACTGAAAAAATGAGGTCAATGACTGATTTAGAGATGTTAAACAGTGAATGGGGTCAAATTGTTCCCAAAAATATTACAAAGGTTAAAACTATCTAAAAGTACCAAAATACATTTTCTCACTGACTTCTTGTGACACCAGAAACAGGAGTCCACTGTCCTAAACTGGGGTTCAGGCTACAATTGTAAGCCATAAAGCAGGGGTCAACTGATCATGTTTTTCAGGGCCAATATCAATTATTAATAAACAAGAGGCCAAATAACTGATATTTGGAACCATTGGATTGGAAATTTAAATTCTGATGTCAGAATTTAGAATAACACTAACTCCTACACAGACTTTGTAGAAATGGTTTTGTTTATTTATATTTTGAATGTGTTAACACATGACTTTCACTTTTCAGTGCTGATAGGCTATTACTGATCAGGTGTAACCAAACAGATAGTGCTGTGAGCGGGACATTGCTCTAGACCACTGTGTAGTGACTACAGATAGAGAGGCAGCTGCATCAGAGCCAAAGTAGCACATTTTGGAATTAATCTATTTTATTAGGAATTACATTATATAAATACCAATAGTGATAAACAAAGAACTGTGCATTCATCTGATAATTGGCCAGGCCAATAACTGGTTGACACTTGCAATAAAAATTGCATTGCCACTTGAACAACATCTAAAACCAGAACAATACTACATCATAATAGACCCCACTGATACACTGTACTATGCTGTATGGTAACTTAAAGTATTTAGTCCCCGTTACTATTAGGACTTTTTTTGTATTGTAGCTACATTTTTAAATGAATAAAGGCAGTTGAGTAAAAGGGTGGCTGTGGCTCAGGTGGTAGAGCGGTTGTCCTCTGATCATAAGGTTGGTGGTTCGAGTCCCTCCACAGTCGAAGTGTCCTTGGGCAAGACAAGACACTGAACCTGAAGTTGCTTCCAATGGCAGGCAGCACCTTGCATGGCAGCTCTGTCGTTATTGGTGTATGAATGTGTGTGTGAATGGGTGAATGAGAAACACATTGTAAAGTGCTTTGAGTGCCGCTAAGGTAGAAAAACGCTATATAAGCGCAGTCCATTTATCATATAGCTCTCATAATTCAAGTATCCGATTCTCGTATTCTTTACCTTGGAGGTGAGGTCTCTGTGGAATATACCCTTGCTATGCAGGTACTGCAGTCCTCGGGCAATATCCAGAGACAGACCAGTCCTGACGCCCCATGACAGATACAGGTCACTGTCCAACAGCTGCTCTAGGTTCCCTCCATTTATGTACTACAGAAAGAACAAAGACAAAAAAGAACAAGATGCCTGAAACAGCTTTTGCCTTCATATTTAGCAAATTACTAAAACACCGTGAAGCCAAAACTTGTTTTTAGATACTAAGTTTCAAAAACTAGTGTTGCTGATTTCTATGCTCTGAAACAGCGTTTCTCATCCTGACAAGTCCAGTTTTGTCAAATAGTGTGTCCTGTGATTTCCCTAATAAGAAGTGTTTTGAAACAGCCTTTGCCTTCAGAGTTATCATATTTGAACACATTCTGAAGCAAAAAAGAACTTGCTCTAGTGCATCTCAAAAAACAAAAATATCACAAACAAGTTTTTTCATCAGTTATTTAAGAAAGTGAAACTTTTATATATACTAAACCCAGTGGCAGCTGGTGAAAATGTTTGGTGAGGGAAATCAGATATTAGAATATGAATAACATCAGGCGCAACTATTAACAGGAATGCAAATTTTCTACCTTTGGAGGATATTCTAATCATCATCTAATTTAACATTACTAAGATTTACCAGGGCTACATTTCAAAACCATTCATCAAACTTTCATCAATACTTACAGGATCAGGACAAACACAAAACACACAACATAAATAATGAAAAAAAACACTATTTGAACAAAAACTTGTCTCTTCTCTCTTTCTGCTCAGCAAACTTCTCTATTACTTTTTTGGTTGAAGTCACTCATCTCTGTGACCAGCCTTTTCTCCATTGACAGCATGGCCGATGCATTAGGCCATCATGACAGTAGCTGTCATCTAGTAGGAGAGGAGGGGAAAGGCCGTGTGACACTGTCAGATATGTATTTAAAGCGCGGTCATAAGAACGTCAAAGGACAGTTTTGATACCCAACCACAGAAGCAAATAAAGACTAAATTAATTGGCTTACAGTAAAAATAGGAGGGTCTGGGACGCACCGAGCTGCGCCTCGTGAGAAAATCTGCAGCTGCCAATCAGAGCCTGGGCCACGGTCACATGCTCAAGTTTTTCAAGCTACATACACACTCATGTGGCCGGAGCCCCGCATCCAGGAAGTGTAAAATTAGTAAACACGCAGTAAAGACTAATTGTAAATCTGTTAATAATACAAATATTGTTAATATGGCACAATCTTATAAACATTAATAATTTTATTATTATTTTGTTATAATTAATTCAAATTAAAATTGTATTTGAGAACTACTTTTTATCTGGTAATTAGTAGTGGGGTGGCGCCCCTGCACCCCGCATTGACCAGCCACCACTGACTACACCTATTATGCATAAAGTGATATATTTTAAACATTTTTTTTGTTTTAATCTATCATTAGAATATTTCCTAAGATCAATCCAAAAAAAGACTTACAATACAGAAATGTCCAACTTCTGAAAAATATTTTTATTTATACACTCAATACTTGGTTGAGGTTTGGCATGGCATGGAGGTGGTCAGCCTGTGGCAGTGCTGAGGTGTTATTCAAGTCCAGGTTGCTTTGATAGCAATGTTCAGCTCATCTGTGTTGTTGGGTTGGTTGTTTCTCATCTTCCTCTTAACAATACTCTACATGGGGTTCTATGGGGTTCAGCTCAGGTGTGTTGGCTGTCCAATCAAATACATTAATATAATGGTCCACAAACAATTTGGCAGTAGTTTGCGCACCATGATTTAGGGTTAGGTTAGGGTGAAAGTGCAAAAGATTAGGGTTAGAAAAGGAAATCTGCATCTCCATAAAACTGGTCAGCAGATGGAAGTATGATGTGCTCTGAAATCTTTTGGTAGATGACAGCATTGACTTTGGACTTGATATAACTAAGTGGACCAATTCCAGCAGAAGACATGATGCCCCAAATCATCATAGACTGCCGAAACTTCCCACTAGACTTCAAACACCAGGGATTCTGTACCTCTCCACTCTTCTTCAGGCTCTGGGACCTTGATTCTCAAATGAGATACAAAATGTGCTTATATTGCCTCTCTGCAACACGCAGTCACACAGAGGCAACCCTCTCATTCTCCGGGGGTTTGTGAGTATCCCCACACCCACCCGGCACCTCTCACCCTGGGCAATTCTGGGAAAAGGAGAGAGTCCAACCCCTCTCCAGGAGTTTGGTTCCAGAACTCTTGCTGTGCATGGAGGTGAGCCCAACTATATCTAGCCAATAACGCTCCACTTCCTGCACTAGATCAGGTTCCCTCTGCACCAGTAAGGTGACGTTCCACGTCCCGACATCTAGACTATGCCACCAGGGGACGGTGCGCCCAGACGCCCGCTCCGACCTACTGCTTAGTGAGCACAGCACCCGACCCCGATTTCCTGCGCTGTGGGTGGTGGCCCCTTGGGTGGCAACCTGGTGTTACTTCTTCGGGCTGTGCCCGACCGTGCCCCACGAGGCACCAAGGCTCTACCACCAGAAGCTCTCTGGTGAGCCCCCCCCCCCAGGACCTGGCTCCAGGAGGAGGTCTTGGTTTCCCTATTCCGGGCAAGGTGACGGCTTTCCCCTTTTTTGTTTCCATCAAGGTTTTGTGAATCACTCTTTGTCTTGCCCCTTCCCCAGAACCAATTTGCCTTGGAAGACCCTACCAGGGGCTAATCCCCTGGACGACATAGCTCCTAGGATCTCAGGGACACTTAAACCCCTCCACCGCGATAAGGTGGCGATTCATTGGGGAGCCAGATAAAGCTATTCAGCACATTTTCAGGCAACAGAGTCCTCTGGTGGTAAAGACAAGTGTTTTTAGGCTTGTTTGTGCTATCTACGGTAACCATTGAACAGCATGTAAACATTACATTAATGGTGTGTAGAAAAACCTGGTATCCCATAATTGTAAATAGAAACACACTACGATCACTCAGACCATTTCAGCATTTTTTTTTCATGTGATGTTTTAGGTATTGTCTCTGCTATCTGCAATTATCAGTATAACTAAAGTTATGGTATGAATGAAACAGCAAGGTAGAGAGAAAGGACAGACAAATGAGAATAATAACATTTATTAATTTTAAAGAGGCTGTAAAAACCAGGAATTGTAGTAAGCATAAATGAAGTAAAATGATGGCCTTACCTCTGTCAAAGCATGGAGTTGACCTTCATGCACACAAACGCCAAGAAACCTGAGAAGTGAAGAAATATGATTAAAACTACTACATGTCATTATCTGTCACTTGTACTTGTATCTGTTGAAATGCACCCTGTATTTGAAAGCCCCCTACTTGTATAGCTAAAGTATTTTTACTATGTTGTCTCCTTGTGTTCCTTAATAGTAGAACAGATGTGCTAAAGTTAACTTTGAAGATGTTTTTATCTGGAATCAGATTTGTTAGTCAGAGCAAGAGTGTATGGAGAAATGAGTGTGGATTGAAAATTTCAGTTTCTTTTATTTAAAATAAAATGTACAACACAACAGTGGGGGAAAAAGTGAAGGGGTCTGAATACTTTGTAAATCCATTGGACTTTTTTAGCCAGTGGCGATACTTACTACATTCTTCTGTGGATATTAACTGTGACTTTTTGACAGTGAGTGCCAAAAGTAGTTTTTTACTGCCAAAGGTTTGAATCTTTAACATTCAAGGCAAAACCGATGCAGAATTATAGCCAACCAAGACTTCTTTCAAGCTCTGAGCAGACATTAAACCTCAGCACATACTGAAGCGTCACTAAACCTAGACCTTACAAGCAGCAAGTTTTTCAATGAAAGAAGATACTGAATTAATGAATTTATACATAACAGAACATGAAATGAAACACTGGTGCATTACAATAATAGCACAGTGACTGGATCTTAACAAGTGGTCCAGAGGGGCACAACACTGACTGAGGTAAAAACTGAAATTTTAATTTATATATATTTTACCGACCTGAGTATGTTGGGGTGACAAAGCCTGTTCATAAGCTGCACTTCTCGTAGCATGTTAGCTTTGTTGCTGGTGAGTGTGTTCATTTTCAGTGCCATCACCTGTCCTGTGATTCGATGCTGCACCTGAAAAACGAGAGGATTTACAATAAGTAAGTCACAAGGAGGAAGGATGAGATGTAGTGTTTCACCTCCAAGAAAAAAAAAAAATGCAGTTAGCCTCTCTACGACTACATAAAAACCATCCCAAGAATCGTGGGGCCTCATTTATCAGCAGTGCGTACACACAGATGTGTGCGTAGTGAGTGCATACAAACATGAGGTTGGAGACATATGTGGCATTTCCAGCCATCACTGAGCAGGATCATCCCAGCAGTGTTGGATGTCATAATTCCCCTGGCCCCAGCCTACATCCAGTTCCCTTGCAGTCATCAACAACAAGCCCAAATCAAACAGGGAGTTCACGCTATCGCTGGATTCCCAAATATAATTGGAGTCATAGACTGCACCCACATCGCATTCAAAGTAGCATCACTAAACAAATTTATTTATGTTAACAGAAAAGGGTTTCATTCAATCAATGAACAAATATTTTCTGATGCACATTTGCAGCTATTAAACGTTGTTGTCCGGTGGCCTGGAGGAACGTATGACTCATTCATTGGGCAGAACAGCTCTATGGGTTTTTGTCTCCCAGCAGGAGCTGTTGAAGATGGTGAGTATTGGTGAGTGTTGCAGAGTGTGAAATGCTTTTGCTGGACTTAGTATGGTTATTAAAACATCTCTTAACTGTATCACAGGCAAGGGCAACATCAAATAAAAGGGACATATGATCAGAAAACACTGTGTCACAAATCTGTAGGTTAAGAACAGGCAAACCATATGATAAGACAAGATCAAGTGTGTGTCCGTGTTCTTGTGTGGGTCCAGACACAGACTGCACAAGATTAAAAGAGTCAATGAGGTTTAAAAAGTCCTTTGCCATTGGCTTATCAGGACAACATACATGAACATTAAAATCACCAACAATAAAGACGCGGCCATATTTAGGCAGAATTTCAGCCAGGAAATCAGAAAAATCATTTAAGTCCTTATTGTATTTGGGAGGCCGATAGACCACAGCACACAACGTGGGAGAGTGACTGAGCTCAAATACACCCAAATCAAAGCTAGTGAAGGAGGATGAAAGTGATATCTGCGTACATTTATAGCGACTCTTAAAAACAGTGGCTCCTCCTCGGCCCAACGTCTGTGGGGAGTTAAAACAGCAGCAATCAGGAGGTCAAGTTCAATGAAAGCGCTGGACTCACCAACACTCAGCCACGTCTCAGTCACACAAAGAATCCTCAGGACGTAAAGAAATCCTTTACGATAAAAGTCTTGTTTGTTAGTGATCTTGCATTCACCAGACCAATCCTGGCAGGAAACAGTGGGTCTGCGGCATTAGCTGTCCGGGGGGCCCAACACAGAGGCCGCAGGTTGTTGTGATTCACCCCACGTCAACGGGGTCGAGGAGAGCAGGGGCTGGAATAACACATGCAGGCCGACGACAGGTATCAGTCAGACGCCAACAGGATCTAGAGAGCGCCAAAGAATAACAAGGCCAGGCACAACTTCAACCTTAGTCCAGGAAGCTGAATAAAATCCCGCCAGACAAGCCTTTTGCCTCACCAGCCAACCGCTGCATCTACCCTGGCGGCGGATGCACTTACACGGTGAAGGAAAACCCAGGGCACGGCACAGGTGAGCTGGGATCCCCTCCAAGAGCGGGGGTAAAGTTCCACGTCCACCTTTATCCAACTAAACTAGATCTCTGGCAAAAAATCAAAGACCCAGTCGTACGCAAGTAGAGAGTTGACACTCAGGGCAACAAACGAGACTAACAGCACAAAAACACACAGCACTGACAGTGACAGACGGCAAGCCACACACACCAGTGCCATTTTGGAATCCATCCAGCAAAGGTGAGATTTTGAGATTATGCTTAAAACTTTTTGATAAAACTTATTGTTAGGGCTGGCTCATGGCCACCTGAGCTGTCTCTTAGGTATGCTGGTACACAGTGCTGTGTAAAAGTACCAGATCATCAACTGAAAATTGGATTCATCACTGAAGAGAACCTCAGCCCAATCATTAACAGTCCAATCCTTGTGATCCCCAGCAAAGAGTAACCGGGCTTTCCTCTGCCTTTCGTTGATGAAGGGCTTCTTCAATGCCCTGTGTGACTTCAGACCAGCTTCAAGAAGTCGGTTTCAGGGGGTTGCGGTTCCGTCTCCTTCAGTGATGGCGGCATAGAGAGAGGTCTCCCCTGACATAGCTTTAAAATATCCTGCAAACTTGTGAATTAAACCCACCAAGAACAAAATCATTCTGATAAACAGGACAACAATGAAAACGAGAGCAAAAAGCAAAAAAAAAAAGTACGGCTGAATTAAACGAAACAGACGAAGACTCACGAGGCACGGAATGCTATGCTGGCAGAAAAGACGGCATCAAGCAGAAAGCTAACAAGAAGGTAAAGGTACACATGGAGAGAATTTTGCGAGAAATTCAAGAATTCCGAAAAGAAAGCAACTGTCAGCTGGAGGATATTAAGGACAAACTTAACAAGACAAACCAAAGAATTGAAGAAGCGGAAATTTGCATTGATGCCGTGAAAAATAGACAAACAACTGAGCAGGTACTGAGACACATGCTAAAAATCCAGGCTCAACACGCAGAAAAGTTACTCGACCAAGAGGGAAGAGCGAGGCGAGATAATATCTGAATCTACAACGTGCCGGAGGGTGAGGAAGGCAACTCCATGATAACCTTTGTAGATAATGTTTTCAGTTTGTGTTCTTTCTATTGTGCTCCACTCCACTAGAGACAACTCACAGCAGACTTGTTATAAGCAGGCAGAATTCTCTTACCAAAAAGATGACACGTGAGAAAATTAGAATAACTTCCTTCAGTGTAAACGGTATACTCAGCCCAATAAAACTATCTAAGATACTTTCTAAAATGAAAAAAGAAAAGGCACATATTGCATACCTACAAGAAACACATCTGAATGATGTCGAACATGAAAAATTACAAAAAATGGGTTTCACAAAAGTTTATTTCTCTTCATTCCAACCTAAACGTTAAGAGTCGCTATCCTAATCTCCAATAAGGTCACTTTTGAACAGATATATGAACGAAAGAACAAGGAGGACAGATTCATTTTGGTAAAAGGAACACTAAATTCGCCCTGCTTAGTGTGCACCCTCCACTATGTAGTGAACTTGCAATAAACAACAGAGAACACTAACATCATTAAACTGTGGGTCAGCTTTTATTAATGATTTCTTTTGTGTCCCTGCAGCATCTGAAAACAATAGGCCAGCTTTTAATGTTAACAGGGGTTAGACCACCAGTGTTGCAGGTGATCAACATGTGCTCAACTTGTGAAGCTGCAGCTTCTGTGGGTCAGTGGTAATGCATGACTGGATGGGTCATTGACTGGTAATATGTGCTCTCAAAGCTCAGCCAGTGTCTGGACCTGCAAGTGCATGCATCCGTGTGTGTGCGTGTATATGTGCATATGTGTGTGTGTGTGTGTGTGTGTGTGTGTGTGTGCGTGTGTGTGTATTAATAGCGTAGCACTAATAGGCTTTCTGGATTTCCAATCACTCCTCCTGATCTGCACAAATCCACAGGGCCATTACTGAGACCTCAGCCAGCAGCAGATATGCATGAACAAGGATGCATGGGTGCACACACTGAGGAAAACAGCATACCGAGTTTAGCAATGATAGACACACAGTCAGCACCATGGACAGAGCCTGCAGCTATAAATGCATTTGGAATTTGCCTGCCCAGCTAAATCTGCTTTTCAGCTATGTGTGATTTGTGTTATTTATAATTATATTTCCAACTTGTGCAAACAGTCCGGTACTAGTTTTGAAATATTTTTCATTTTTGAACAGCCACTGTATAATACATAATGAGCTTTATTAAGAACTTCACACAAGATACTGTGCGCCAAGTACAATATGCTGTGTATCATAATCGTGCACTGATGTTAAGGTGAACTATGAGGTATCATCTGTTAGTAAATGATGGCTGTGTGGTTAGTTGTAGTCCAGTGTTATACTTGTCTGTGCATCTGAATAGTTAAGTTTTGTAACAAGAGCAGCAGAAAGACAATTAAGAGAATCCTCCTGGCTTGTCTTAGTGTTCAAACACAAACACTGGGTACACTGCAGTCTACAAGTCCACAGGACGGAAGTATAAGAACAGCTTCTCCCCTAATGAGTAGTCCAACCACCACATGTCAAGACCTAGCAAGTATCCTTCCACATTTTGACAACACTATATGCAAGATGAAGAGCAAAAAGCAAGGAAAAGTGAAAAAAAAGACAGCAGCCTTGAGCAGGATGCATCCAAGTGCACTAAAATAAGCAGTGTGTTCCTGCAATTGGCCAGTGCAAGTACAGATTTTAAACTATCAAAATGATCACTTTATTCAGTTTAGTTGGCCAGTAAACTTAACTGGAATTCTAGTACATGAACAAAGGGTGAAGTGCTATGCCATGCAAGTATAAGCAATGGAACATGGTGGTGTAGTATGTTGTTGTCACAGCTGATCAATAACTGATAATACCTGAACTGCATGTCATTGAATTAACAGATAGGCAGGCAAAAGCAATGTACTTTAACTTCTGTGAGCGAATTTTGGCAAGTTTAAAATACTGGCCCAAATACATCTCAGAGCATGCCAAAGACAGTTTGCAAGCCAAAAATTACAAAACATTTATTTTAAAATTGTATCTTGTTTGTTATGGTTTGTTTTGCTCTCCATCTTGGTCTTATCCATGTGATTGTCCTCTGGTTTGTACGGTAGTTTTATTAGCCTTCTGTATTTTTTAAATTTAGGCCCGGAGGCTTGTGGGGCAGTGATTAGCACTGAGGGTCCTGGGTTCATGTCTCATCCTGGGACCTTTATTTATGATATATTACTTGCTGTGCTGCTCAGTCTTACAGTCATGGACAGAAGTTTAGATACACTTGTAAAGACTATGTACAGTTGAAACCAAAAGTTTACATACATTGTATAAAAAGACAAAAAAAATGTTTCCACTGTCTGACATTAAATCAGATTAAACTTTTCTTGTTTCAGGTCAGTTAGGACTACCAAAATTATTTGTATTTGACAAAAATTTTTTTAGAGATTTTTTTTATTACTTTCTTCAAATTCAGAAGTTTACATACTCTAAGACTACTTTGTCTTCAAACTATTTGGAAAGCAGTAATGATGATGTCACACCTTTGGAAGCTTTTGATAGGTTAATTGACAACATCTGAGTTAATTGAAGGCACACCTGTGGATGTATTTTAAGGCACACCTCAAACACACTGCTTCCTTTTGTGACAACATGGAAAATCTAAAGAAATCCGCCAAGATATCAGGAAGAGAACTGTGGACCTCCACAAGTCTGGTTCGTCCGTGGGCACAATTTCCAGATAGCCTGAAGGTTCCACATTCATCTGTTCAAACAATTATATACAAGTATAAACACTATGGGAATGTCCAACCACCAGTTCTGTCAGGAGGAATGGGCCAGAACTCATCAAACTATTGTGAGAAGCTTGTGGAAGGAAACCCAAAACGTTTGACCCAAGTCATACAGTTTAAAGGCAATGCTACCAAATACTAAAGAAATGTATGTAAACTTCTGACTTTGAAGAAAGTAATCAAAAATTCTCAAAAAAAAAAAAAAACTCTCTCTCTCATTTTTCTGGCATTTAGCAAATAGAAATAATTTTGGTCGTCCTAACTGACCTAAAACAGGAAAAGTTAAGCCACATTTCATATCAGATAGTGAGAAAAAAAGAGGGTTATGTGTCTTTGTATACAGTGTATGCAAACTTCTGGTTTCAACTGTATCTACATATATGAAAAACATGTCAACAGACAAACCCTCACCCTTCTACTAGGTTGTACATTACATCACCAGCATACCCAGGCCCACGGTATTTTATGCATTTCTTTTGTTTTCTCCGACATATTGAAAAGAAACCAAGCTGTGTTAATACAGAACTGAGGATTTTACTTCATCACAGAGACCACAGACAGCTCAGCAGAAGCAAAGCCAATTCATCTTGATTTCCCCCCTGGATGCTGGTTGTAGTATACGTCATAAACAACCACTATGTTAGCGGATGGAACTTAAGTCAAACTTGGGGTAAAAAAAAATTTAAAAAGTGAGTATGTTTCTGATACATTTTTCCCAAATATGGTTAGGACATATTCCGTGTCCCTGTGTTCAATTGTTCATTTTTCAGAGCAGTTTTTTTTTGATTAATCACTTTATGTGATAAAAATGATGTATGTCTTCCTGCTGAATAAATGGTCATGTAGGTAACTACAGACAGCTACTTAGAAATTGTGCATAAGAACATGGAAAGACAGTTCCTTTCCTCAACCATGGGGTTTATCGTTGTCTAAAAACACTGGGAAAAACACTTAAGAGCCATACAGAATAATTCACTCTAAATTAGAGAAGCACTTTACTCCACAACCTCATATAATCTAATTGATCTTTCTTTATACATGTGTATGTGTTCTTCTTGTATTTACAAAAACTTTTTAATCCTTCAGTAGCAAATTCCATAGATTGAAGCCACTGATGTACAAATATTTAAAACAGTTTGTGCAAGCTGATGCTGAAAATTAAATGCTCTGCTATCGGCCCTGTGCTCTCAACTAAAAACGAACAAGCAATCTGGTAATACGCTGCTTTTTGCCATGTAGATATTTTGTGAGCGTGTGGTGCTAGAACAAACTCAGTTGGATTTATCCTCTGGAGACAATTGATTACAATATTTGTTGAGATATTTCAGTGTGGCCCAAAGTGATACAGAGACTGACCAACATTAGCATCCTTTATGTCCTTGTATTTCTTGGCCCAAACAACTATCTTGTTGTTGTTGTTCATCCTAAGTAGTGGTTTCTTTGTAGCAATTTGACCATGAAGGTCTGATTCAAGCAGTCTCTTCTGAACAGTTGATGTTGAGTTTGTCCACTACTTGAACTCTGTGAAGAATTTATATGGGCCATCATCTGACATGCCGTTAATTTGCAGTTTCTGAGGCTTATAACTCTAATGAACTTATCCTCTGCAGCAGAGGTAACTCTTCCTTTCCTGGGGCAGTCCTCATGAGAGCCAGTGCCATCATAGCGTTTGATGGTTTTTTGCGAACGCACTTGAGGAAGTTCTTGAAATTTTCCCGATCAGCTGACTCATGTCTTAAAGTAATGACGGACTGCCATTTGTCTTTACTGACTTGAGTGGTTCCTGCCATACTGTGGTTTAAAAAGTAGTCAAATAGGGCTATCCACTGTGTACTAACCCGACCTCTGCACAACACAACTGATGGTCTCAAACACATTAAGAAGGCAAGTAACTCCACATCTCTTGACTCTTGACGAGGCACAACTGTTATTTCAAAACCATTCCAGGAGATGACCTCATGAAGCTGATTAAAAGAGTGTTAAGAGTGTGCAAAGCTGTCATCAAATCAAAAGGGGGCTACTTTAAAAAATATAAAACATATTCTGGTTTGTTTAACAGTTTTTTGTTTACTACATAATTCCATATGTGTTCTTCCATAGTTTTGATGTCTTCAGTATTAATCTACAACGTAGAAAACAATTAAATCAAAAACACTAAATAAGAAGGTCCACACTTTTGACTGGTACTGTGTATGATATAACAAAAGAAAGAACACTGAACAGTCGTCTATAGTGATAAAGGAGAGGACTTTACATCTCTGGAAACTATTGTGGCAACATTTTCAGTTCAGACAAAAGGGTTGACTTCAGGTCTTGAACAGTCTTGAAAAAGCTCTGAAAGACTGTACACAACAATGGAAGGATAATCAACTGAGCAATTGTAAATAGAATATTTTTACTGCTGTTTGTTGGATCTTAGTTGAGACTGCATTCACTAAATTATATCACTGGGAACTATGGTTATAGCTGCTGAAATCTGATAAAAGCAACAAACAATTGTAGCTCATTTCATCGGCTAGAATTTCCATTATTCTTTATATGATGTTGAAATACACATCAAATTAAATTTTATGTGATCTTAAAAAGGTCTTTAAAAATCACAATAAATCAAATATATAGGTGCTTTGGTGAAGATGAGACGATTACGAATATTTGAGCTGAATTAAATTCAAAGCTATATTTATTTATTTTACAGTCCTTTTGTTAAATATTATAAAACAATTCAAGTTCCTGACTGCATTTCTGGAATTATGGATAGTGCCTTTTTTGACTACTTTTTCCGTAATATATTTCCAAAGCAATACATAATAGAAAGGGCAATTCACAATCACGACATAATTCTGTTTACACTTTCCAATACCAAACAATAGGAGGGTGAAGAAAATTCTTATTTAGCCTGCCCTTTACTAAAAACATTAATAACATTAATAAAAATAGATGGACAGTCACACTTATAGCTATTTAACATCCAATAGTTTTATCAATATGCTACAGAATTGTCACCAATTTGTCCTCAGTAACTGATTGTCTGTATACGACATGACACAAAACAATTTACATTTTTGTTTAACAGTTTAAAACCCAGAATATTGAGTTAATGGTAAAACTGGGGAGACTAGTGAATCCTCACATTGGAGAAGGTGGGAGCAGTACATTTTTTCCTTCAAAATTGTTTTTGTTAAATGTATCAGAATTGTGGTTGGTTCATTTTCTATTAATCAGTTAATCACCATCAGAATCCCACCATCAGTTTCCTCACCAACAGGCCACAGTTTGTGAGGACACAAGGCTGCGTGTCTGAGACGGTGATCTGCAGCACAGGGGCACCTCAAGGGACTGTTCTGGCTCCTCTCCTGTTCTCCATCTACACAGCAGACTTCACCCACTACACAGCAAACTGCCACCTGCAAAAGTTCTCGGATGACTCTGCCATCGTCGGTCTCATCAACAACGGAGACGAGAAGGAGT